CAAAAACAATCAGTTTGCTGTCTTTAATTGTTTATATAAATGCTACTTATTCAAAAAGTACAAAGGATTTWAAAAAATGCTAAAAAATTTGAAAGTTCTACCCGTAATACGAAAGAATATGAATGCAATTAAGAAAATGTATGCAAATTMACCAATATCCGATCGACGCTGTAAGAGTCTTTAGCACAATAGAAGCTGAAAAGTTCCGCAATACTTTCAGTTCATGTTTTACAAAATGGCGATCAAACTCTTCCTTGCTGTCGCCGTTTTCTCTCTTGTGTGTGTTTTRAGTTGTCTAAGCCAATTCTGCAGATACCATAATCAGTGTTCCAAAAATCAAGTTTGCTGTAAAATGAGATGCACTGARGGCTCAAGTTGTGCYGGCAGTTTCTGTCTCAAGGGGKTCTTAGGCTGCTCGCCATCAGAATCTTGCTGCAATAACAAGTGCACGGAGGGGAAGAATTGTCTTGGCCGTGGCTGTTCTATCGATAAAGACTGCAGTCTTCWTGAAAGATGTTGTGGTAATGTGTGCGTGAAGGGAGAAAGTTGTCTTGGCCATTCCTGCCACTATGATGGAGACTGTAGTCCTCACGAAAAATGCTGCTTTGGTAAGTGCAGTAATTCGAGCTGTGTAGGAATTAGCTGCGGCTCTATCCTCTGCTTGCCGTCAGAATCTTGCTGCAATGGCAAGTGCACGAAGGGAAAGAACTGTATCGGCCATCAGTGTTTTAGCAATAGTGACTGCCTCCAGCCAAATGAAGCATGTTGTCTTGATAAGTGTGTAAAGGGATATAACTGTCTCGGACAAAAGTGTCAGTTTGATTGGGACTGCAATGGTCATGCAAAAAAGATTTTCAAATGTTGCTCAGGTATATGTTCTAAATCAAGTCTGACGACAAGCTGTGTTAATCATTCCTGTCCCAATTCTGACCACTGCTTGCCATCAGAATCATGTTGTAACTACATATGCACGAAGGGTAAGGATTGTACTGGTCAAAAGTGCACTCGCYACTGGAACTGCGGGAGATTKGAATCTTGTTGTAATMATKTGTGTATATCGGGTACGAGTTGTGTTGGCCAAAAGYGTGCTAATGATTCCGACTGTCACAATAATTTTCGTAGTGAAAATCGAGAAATATGTTGCTCTGGTAAATGCCGCTATAGAACAAGTTGTCCTAAACAATTCTGCGCTGACTCTGATGACTGCTTGTCAACGGAAACATGCTGTAATGGAAAGTGTGTCGTGAGGGGAACGAATTGTGTTGGCCGTCGATGCGATGCCGATAAACACTGCATTAAGTATCTTGAAAAATGCTGCAACAACCGGTGTGTAGAAGGAATGAACTGTCTTGGCCATCCATGTGTTACTAACAAAGACTGCTCTTTGACTCAAGATCAAGAATACTTTGACCATGAAAAATGCTGTGTTGATAGGCGATGCCATAAATCAACCGATTCCTGCTTGGAAATGGGTTACATAGCTCCAATTGTGGGTGGTAGCGTGGGTTTTGTCGTATTCTGCTCATGTGTTGTAGTTGGTCTTCTCATTCTTCGTCGAAGAAGAAAGAAACTTCTATCGCAGCGAAGTGGCCAAGTTATCAACCAGCAGCCATATCAACAGCTTGACAACGAGGAATCGTCTACTGACAGTGAAACAATCGCCGAAGGAACTTTCCCTTCTTCTGTTCCAGCTTCTAACATTGAACTGGTTTCACAAGAGACAACCGCTTGACAAGAATCAGCGGTCAACTGAGTCTTCCCGCCGACCGTTTGAAGAGCCAAAATGATGTTAAGTTTGAGCCCTGTATATTTGTAAACAGTTTTCTGTTTTATTTTTAAACTTTAAAAATTGAATTGGATTGAATTGAATTGGTAGCTGTTTAATTGAGTGAAGATTCAAAGGCACAGCAAATAGAGTCCATAATGAACCTGTTGCATTGCATCTCTGTCAGTCGATGCATTTTATAATTTAAAATTGTTTTTCTTAGTAATTATATAGTATTATGCTAGTGTGATCACTAGTACTATTGTTTGCCACTGTAAACTTAACCTAAAAAGCCAAACATCTTTGAATAAATTAGCGGTTCTTCGTATAATTGTTCAACAATTATATTTCAATTAATAACAATTAATATTTTAATAACAAATTATTCGTAATAATTTGGTAGTGACGCTGAAATAAAAATACTGATTCAAGAACACATTCACGTCACGGCATGGTCACGATATCAAAGTGCCGTTTCCTTTTATTTATTTATTTTTTTTCGCACACGCAAACAAAATCCAAAGTTCCTTGATCGTTTATAGAGGTTGAATCAACAGAAATCCAGAAAAAATGGTTTCGCAAGGGACAACCGCTTGAAGAGCCAATATGATGTTAAACGAAACCTCTAAGAAAGAACAGTTAAGTTTGAAACAGGGAAACAATCTCTCAAGGAACTTTCCCTTCCGTTCCAACTCCAGAAAAAATGGTTTCGCAAGAGACAGCCGCTTGAAGAGCCAATATGATGTTAAACGAAACCTCTAAGAATGAACAGTTAAGTTTGAACCCTGTATGATATTTGTAAACAGTTTTTCTGTTTAATTTAATTGGTAACTGTTTTATTGTGTGGTGCTATGATCGCTTTCGATTCNAATCCCCAGAAGATGTCGTTAAAGTAAGACTTTACGAATATGCAAAGTGTGTAGCTGCAGCCTCTCGAATTTGTAGACAGGGGACTTGCAATTCATCTGGAGAAAAGATCGTTTTTAGAGAAAATATTTGCTTTTGAATTCATAGCGAGCAGCTACATGTTTCACCTTTACTCGGAAGTTAAAAAAACTCGAAAGTCTAAAACTTTTAGGACAAAGAATTATCTAATGTGAAAGAACTTTATCGTAGAATCTGTTGCTCATCCCTCGTCGAGTATCTGATTGAAAACCGGTTTTGATTTTCAACCAATAATATCGCTCTGATATCAACGGACCAATCAGCTGCAACATTCAGATCTTGAATGTAAACACTGACATGGAAGTGAGATTTGCTATCCGTGCCACCAGAGGCTGGTTTACGGTTCGGCCTTCGGCCTCAAGGACGGCGCTTCGCGCCGTATATAAGCTATAAGAACGAGTAAATCCAGCCTCTGGTTCCCAGGGTAACTTAGAGCAAACGCAGGAAATAAAATCAAACTAAATACAAATAGCGGCTATTTAGAGACAGTATCAATGAACCAGAACGCAGTAAACATGAATTGAAACCGTGGTCCCACATGGATTCATCTTCATTGTGTTCTGGTTCATTGATACTGTCAATGATTGTCTCTAAATAGTCGCTATTTGTTAGTATTTAGTTTGATTTTATTTCATGGTTCTCCTGTGTTTGCTGTATTCAAAAAGAACAAAGAATTTTAGAAATGCTAAAATGATTGAAAGTAACCGTACGAAAAAATATGAATACAATTCAGAAAATTCATGTAAATTAAACAATATCCGGTCGACGCTCTAAGAGCCTTAGCACAATAGAACGTCAAAAGTACCGTATACTCCAAGTTCATGTTTTACAAGATGGCGATCAAACTCTTCCTTGCTGTCGCCGTTTTCTCTTTTGTGTGTGTTTTGAGTAGTCCTGGTCAATACTGCACATACAGTTACCAGTGTCCTAATAACCAAGTCTGCTGTGGCAATAAATGCACCAAAGGTTCAAGCTGTGTCGGCCAATTCTGCGTCAGAGAACTCCCCGGGTACTGCTTGCCATCAGAAACTTGCTGCAACTTAAAATGCGTGAAGGGACCGAACTGTCTTGGTCGTCAGTGTTATATCGATTTTGAATGCAGCTTTAAAGAAAAATGTTGCGGCAGAAAGTGTGTGAAGGAAACAACTTGTCTTGGCTGTACGTGTGATTTTGATTCACAATGTGGTGGGCCTCTAGAAAAATGCTGCCTGAATAAATGCACCAACTCAAGCTGTGTCGGCAATCACTGCAGCAGCTCTTCAGACTGTTTTTCATCAGAATCTTGCTGCAACAATGTGTGTGCGAAGGGACCGAATTGTCTTGGCCATCAGTGTGTTACTAATAGTGACTGCTCTTGGACTCAAAAAAACTGGGATCAAGAAAAATGCTGTGTTGATAAATGCATTAAATCAACCGATTCCTGCATGGACAGTGGATACATAGCCCTGATTGTTTTGAGTGCCGTAGGTTTCGTCGTATTCTGCACATGTGTTGTTATTAGAAAGAAACTTCAATCGCAGCGAAGTGGCCAAGTTATTACCCAGAAGCCGTATCAACAGTTCGACAACGAGGGAAACAGGGAAACAATCTCTCAAGGAACTTTCCCTTCCGTTCCAGCTCCAGAAAAAATGGTTTCGCAAGAGACAACCGCTTGAAGAGCCAATATGATGTTAACCGAAACCTTTAAGAAAGAACAGTTAAGTTTGAAACAGGGAAAACAATCTCTCAAGGAACTTTCCCTTCCGTTCCAGCTCCAGAAAAAATGGTTTCGCAAGAGACAACCGCTTGAAGAGCCAATATGATGTTAAACGAAACCTCTAAGAAAGAACAGTTAAGTTTGAACCCTGTATGATATTTGTAAACAGTTTTTCTGTTTAATTTAATTGGTAACTGTTTTATTGTGTGGTGCTATGATCGCTTTCGATTCAGTTAAAATATAATATTGATTGAGTGAAGATTCAAAGGCATACATCAGCTAGAGTCCATGAACCTCTTGCCTTTAATAGTCTGTCACTCGATGTATTTTATTATTTAAAATTAATTTTCATAGCAATTATGGTAATATTTTAGTGTGATCACTCTATATAGTGTACTATAAAGGGTTTTTTTTCGTATGATTTTCAATAAAGGCACGGATCATGACACAGACACAACACTGGTAGGCCTCGTAGAGACGCCAAATACAAATACTGATTCAAGAACCACATCCACGCCACGGCATAATCACGATATCAAATTTCCTTTCCCCTTTATTTCATTTTTTTTCTCACACCCAAACAAAATCCAAACTAAGTTACTTGATCGTTTATAGTGGTTGAATGATTCAACAGGGAAACAGAGCTCACTCTGTCGCCTCTCTTCCCTTTCCTCCACTTTAAAGTGGAAACAATCACGCGCTTTAAAGGTTGTAAATTTGACTGTAAATATGAAATAAGTGTCCAAAATTCTGTAAATTTAATGGAAATCATTTACATCAAATTTATAGAATGTTGGACACTTACATCATATTTACATCAAATTTACAACCTTTATTAAAGCGCGCGATTTTCTTCCAGTTTATAGGTTCAAAAATTAAAAAAAAAATGAAACTAAAGTAATCTTTTTGACCATAATGCACAGCGCCAGGTTACAAAGATTCATTAATTTCCTACAATAACTGTTTGTCCCAGAAGAACATGTAAACAGGATATGGTAATGGTACAGTTGACTGAACTGCTCTAGACGCTGATAGGACCACTTATCTTTTATTGATTCATTGACGTCAAACACGCTCTACTTTCTTGGTACTT